TAATCTTTTGAGATGTTTCACAAAGCAATTCCGAAAGCTCTGTTAGTCACTTCTACAATTTAACAAGGATGGACACAGGACACTGTCCTTCCACTTTAAACTCTTTGGCTGTGCCTTGGTTTCAGCCATTTCCTCTCTTTGGAATACTCTCGCCCATGTCGTCATATAAAGGGAGTTGTGCCCTTTAGGCTGCAGCCTGATGATTACTTCCTAGATGAGATTTTCCTGGATCTATTTCCCCACACTGGGTTAGGTGTCCTTCCTCGGTGCTCCCATAACTGCCCACAGCTGATGCCAAAGCCTGGCATTCTGGATTCAGGCTCGCCGGTCCCCTTGGCTATGAGCCTTTGTGCAGGGCACAACCTGCACAACCGTACAGAGTGGTCTTGTTTTTTGGCACACAGTAGGCACCCAGTTAAATGTTTGTTGAATGAATGATCTTTAGTTTTCCAGAGCCATCTCACAATTTAACTCCTCTTGAGTGGTGGCATCCAGAACTGAACAAACCAGTCTGTGCAGGTCAGGGTCCTATGAGGCAGGGTCTGATCAGTACCAGGGCCACCACAAGGTTTTAGAACCACTCTTGTTTGTTCCTCGATGGCAATACCTGCCACTCTAAAACCAAGAATGTGCATATCCCCAACCTTCTCCTGTATATAACTTTGCCTTCCCCATCATCTCCATTTGTGCAATTTGTTTTTCCTACTAGTGTGAAGAAAGTCCTCTTTCCTTCTTTCTGGCCCCATCCCAATGTATCAAGGCCTCTTTGTCCTCCGGTCATTTATTCCATGGTGTCGGTGTCAGTGTCATCACCAGGAACTTTGAGCCAGTCTGTGCCTGTCGGTCTGGGTCACCAATGAATCATTAGGTTCCTAATGAAGTGCTGAACCCTCCAGGATGCTGCATGTCACAGTTCTGTTTTGGTTGGTTTTGGGTTTTTTTGGTTGGTCTTTCCTTGGAGGGCAGTGGGACAACTGCCTAGGGCTGCTGTTACCTGTGCTCTTTCCCCAGTGGGTTGCAGATTATCCCTAGGATGTGTGGGTGCCGTGGCCAGGCGCCCAGGATGGGAGTTTTGACTCTTGGACACAACCTCCCTGAGAGCGGCCCTAAACTGGAGCAAGGCTCTTAAGTACACCCGGAGGTCGTTTCCTTCCCACCAAACCACTTGTAAAGTCTGCCTGCCTTTTTTTAAATCTATTTTTTGGGTCACGCTGGTATTACCCTGGGTTTTAGCCAGTTTGATAAATAGAGGAAGTTGGGTGCCTTCCCAGCCTCCCTGATGTCATGGTTTGGGGCAATCTGCAACTGTGGGAGGTTTCATGAATCCTAGCAAGTGGTGAGTTTGCTGTTCTTCTCTGCGAAATTTCTCCGTTCCGTGCCATGTCTTACATAAGTTGATATGGTTCCTTTTGTGACTTGCCCTTTCCCTTCAGTGATGTAAGAACCCCAAACATTGGCAGTCACTATGTTTTGTCACTGAAGTGCTAGTGCTCATCAGATCCTCATTCCTTTTATGCTTCTCTAGGAGATAAAGGCTGGTGGGTGTGTGGTGGCCACAGGAGCAAGCAGGGGTCTGTGGACTGAAGGATGGGCCATTCTTTAATGAATTTGAGGCCTCGGTATTCGTCAGGCATTTTTGCATCGTTGCTCTTGCCATTCTTTTCCACAGCTTGCTGAAGTGAGTTCCTGCTCCCTGGCTGGGAAGCTGGTTTCTTGGCCCTGAAACCAGAAGTCATTGTGTTCCCAGTTGGGCCTTTCTAACTGAGGTTGAGCAGGCGGAGGGGAGATGACGTTGAGCTGAGCAAGTGATGGCTTTCCCTCCCGTTCCCTACCCCCTGAACTTGATGGAGGAGCTCTGTTCGGCCCTCCTTCTGTTCTGCTTTTCTTCACTAGAAGAAATCTACTTAATTGTGTAAGTACTATGTGAAGACATGCTTGTGTTCTATGGAGTAGCAATTTGCCTTCATCCTTTCCCTCCTCACACTCCTGGTTTATTGGTGGGTTTCCTTCCAGGCTATTTTGTATGCATCCACCCTTGTCACTGTATTAATAAGGATAGGCCACGTGCAGTGGCTCACGTCTATAATCTCAGCACTTTGGGAGGTCAAGGTGGGAGGATTGCTTGAGTCCAGGAGTTTGAGACCAGCCTGGGCAACATGGTGAGACGCCATCTCTACAAAATAACTAGCAAATTAGCCGAGCATGGTTGCACATGACTGTAGTCTTAGCTACCCGGGAGACTGAGGTGGGAGGATCACTTGAACCCAAGAGTGGGAGGCTGCAGTGAGCTGTGATCGAGCCACTGCACTTCAGCCTGGGCGACAGGGCAAGACCTCATTTCCAATAAAAAAAAAAATAAGTATACACATATAACTTTGATTGTGTCTTAACAAGTCCTCATATATATTATTCAGAAAACTATTTTTTTCTCTTGCCTTATATGCATTGACAGTCTCTATATGTTAATACATCTAAATAAACTTCACTTTTAAATGTTGCATAATATTCCAAAACACAGATGTACCTTTGTTTAACTCTTCATCTACTAATGGAAACTTAGGCTCCCCCCACCACACACACAGCTGCAATGACAGTATTTGTATATGTATTTTTGTATCTATGTGTCAGTATTTCTGTGGGGACAGTCTCTGGAATTTGAGTTTTTGTATCAAAAAGCATGCACATTTAAAATTTTAAAACATAGCTAAATTACTCTCTCAAAGTTTATGTTTCCACCAATGGTGTATGCAGGTGTTTATTTCCTCACATGCTCTCCAGCTTTGGATATTACTAGGCTTTTCAATTTTTTCATCCACTGGGAAAAACAAATGTCATGTTGCTTGCCCTACTTTTCTACCTGTAAGTATTCCAAGGGAGCAAACAGAACCTCCTGTTGTTCATTAATAAACTGGATTCCCAAGAACCATTAAGTGTGCTTTATTATGGTCGTCAATAAGGTTTTGGAAGAGGTAGTGTGCTTGGGTTGGGAAATTTCATCAAAACATTATCAGAAATCCCTATGTAGAAAATTGTCATTTTTACAAATGTTAAATGAACTTCTTTCGATACTCAAGTCACAATCAATTTCTTTCTTTCTTTGATTATTGAAATGTTTTTCAGTTGTTAATCCTACATTTAGTCCACATTCAGCATTGGGACATGTGTTTGCAATTGTTCATCATAGGACAGGACAACATGGTTGGCCTTCATTTTTGTCTTTTATTTTAAGTTCTGGGGTACGTGTGCAGGATGTGCAGGTTTGTTACACTGGTGAATGTGTGCCATGGTGATTTGCTGTACCTATCAACCCGTCACCTAGGTATTAAGCCCAGCATGCATTAGCTATTCTTCCTAAACAGATCAACCCATCACCTAGGTATTAAGCCCAGCATGCATTAGCTATTCTTCCTGATTCTCTACCCACCCGCTCCCCGACAGGCCCCAGTGTGTGTTGTTCCCCTCCATGTGTCTGTGTGTTCACATTGCTCAGCTTCCAATTATAAGTGAGAATATGTGGTGTTTGGTTTTCTGTTCCTGCATTAGTTTGCTGAGGATGATGGCTTCCAGCTCCATCCATGTCCCTGCAAAGGACATGATCTCATCCCTTTTTATGGCTACATAGTATTCCATGGTGTATATGCACCACATTTTCTTTATCCAGTCTATCATTGATGGGCATTTAGGTTGATTCCATGTCTTTGCTATTGTGAATAGTGCTGCAATAAACATATGTGTGCATGTATCTTTATAACAGAATGATTTATATTCCTTTGGGTATATAGCCAGTAATGGGATTGCTGGGCACTGAACTGCTATTATAACAGTCTGTTGAGAGACGCCAGCAGTAGGTCAATTGGTTCCAAAATGACCTTAGAGATCGTGTCTTATCACAGATCTTCATTTGAAAGTCATTATGTCCTATTTCACATGAGAAGACACCATTACATGAAGCGACTGTTATCTTCAAGCTAATAGCTGGACCAATGTTTTGGTTCAGAAGTAAGGCATGTTGGAATATTCTAAAAGATACAAGTCAGGTTGTCAGCAGTGCTCTCTGCCTTGGATAGATACCCCATTCTTTCCCCAGCATGCATCTGCGTTTTCCCTCATGTCATTGCAAATATCCCCATGTTCCCCTTTCAACTCTGAGCCAAACTTAGTAATTAACCAGGAGTTAGCCCTTTAGTGGAGAAAGAATTCTGCCTCTGGCACAAGAGACCTAAATGCCCCAATCCTTGATATCAAAGAGTTTAGATTCTAGGGAAGTGAAATCACAAACACACAAAGAAATATCTAGCCAAGCAGGGTCTCTAGAAGGGACCACCCCACCCCAGGTCTGGTCCAATCACTTCGTTGTCCAGTGCCCTGTGATACTGTTAATGAAGACTTCAACTGAACAGTCATTCATGCCACAAAAACATTAACAAGGCTGGGCGTGGTGGCTCACACCTGTAATCCCAGCACTTTGGGAGGCTGAGGTGGGCGAATCACCTGAGGTCAGAAGTTCAAGACCAGCCTGGCCAACATGGTGAAACCTTGTCTCTACTAAAAATGAAAAAAAAAAAAAAAAATTAGCCAGGTGTGGTAGCATGTGCCTGTAATGCCAGCTACTCAGGAGGCTGAGGCAGGAGAATAGCTTGAACCTGGAAGGTGGAGGTTGCAGTGAGCCGAGATGATGCCACTGCACTCCAGCCTGGGTAACAGAGCGAGACTCCGTCTCAAAACAAAACAAAACAAAACAAAAAACATTAACAAGATCAGTCTCCAAACTGGCTTTGGGCTTGCGCTTCCAGTTTTTATATAAGTTCCTCAAAAGCAGGGTTTACATCCATTTTTTCTGTAACTCCACTGCTAAGTTCAAGCTGTGACGTGCAGTAGGGAACCCAGGGGACCTCGGCTGATGAGCTCACTGCAGTATTGAAGTATTATGCAGTCAAGAAAGTCTACTTTCCATTGGCCTAATTTTGCTTTTTTTTATTATTTTTCATTTTCAGGTGTGCACAGAGGTTCTCCACCATTTTTTCTGAACTCGTAGTCAGGTGAGTGATGCTATTTCTACGAGATAATGTTGTAGAAATGAGGAACATGTTGGCTTGGGTTTTGTTTTTTTCTTTCCTATTTTCCCTCCTTCATTGCAAATTCCCATCCCTGTATCAACTTTATTCTTTTTTGTTTGTTTTGTTTTGTTTTTAGCTCCTCACTCCCACTTGGAGGTCTCTTTCCTTCAGACACTTTCTTTTCCTTGGGGATTCTATTGTTGACCTGTTTCTTCTTGGTAACCCAATTGCTTTTGAATGGGCGTTCAGAAACGGGTACCGATTTTGAAGTTACATGGTGCGATCAAAGCTGGGGAAAGATAATGATCATTTACGTGGAATTATTTGGGATTCTGTTTCACTGTTTTCCCCTTTCCTGCTCCCTGGACGTGTGTCCCTTGGCTCTAACAGCTTTTGTCATGTTTTGAAATGGACTAAGGAAGTGTTTGTTCTCTCTCTGACCTAAGTGCTGTGCAAATGCAACTGTCAAAGGATCCTTCCAACCAGATTTCTGCCCATGACCCTCTTCTAGATAGAAATTCTGAAGCCACTACTTTCACGCTTCCTATTTCTTTCTTTCTTTCTTTCTTTTTTTTTTTTTTTTTTTGAGACGGGGTCTCCCTCTGTCACCCAGGTTGGAGCGCAGTGGTGCAGTCACAGCTCACTGTAGTCTTGACCTCCCAGGCTCAAGTGATCCTCCCACCTCAGCCTCCTGAGTAGCTGGGACCACAGGTGCGTGCAACCATGCCTGGCTAATTTTTTATTTTTTGTAGAGACGGGATCTCCCTATGCTGCCAGACAGGTCTCAAACTCCTGGCCTCAATCCATCCTCCTGCTTCAGCCTCCCAAAGTGCTGGGATTACAGGCCTGAGCCACTGTACCCAGGCTATTTCTTTTGAGACTCATAAATAGTGGTTATTTCTGGGAATTCATTGACATAAATTATCAAAATTTTGTAAACAATGTAAATATCATAATGAATACAAATTAGAATGATCCTATTATAACTTACATGATAAATAACACATCGTTATTATAATAGATACTAGTAAGTTATTGCTATAAATAAGGTTACAACACCTGAGCGGGGTCACACAGCCAGTAAATGACCCAGCTGGGACCTGAAACAGGAATGGGCATGGTGTGATGACAAAACTAAGGAAGGGCACAGAATCCTGGCGGGGGGTGGGCCCTGGTGGGTAAGGGGGGGTTGGTTTCCTGAGTCCCTCGCTTCCTCTCCAGCATGGTTTCCTAGATGACCACTAACCATATGCTTTTGCCCTATCCCTGCCCCAGCCCTGCAGTGCAGATCAATGCCCCAGGAGGCTTTTAAGAAGAGTCTCTTATTTCTCTCCTCTACATATTGATAGAATTATTTTGCAGTAGTAGATTCTGGACCAAATCAATGAAAAAATATTTGTCGAGTGCCTGCTGTGGGTATGGGGGTGAGGTGGAGACCAAACCTATATAGGAGAGGCTATTGTGTTCTGCTTCCTTGTTTTTGTTTTTAGGCCAAGTCGAGTCTGATGGACCATTGAACAGAAAGTATCTTTTGTTTGTTGTTTTAAAAAAAATCACTATTTATTTGGCCATGCCAATGACCAATGAATCTGAGTAGTGGCTATTAAGCTCTCGGGGGCGGGAAAGGTATCTGCCTTGGTTTTTGCAGTATCTTGAGTCCCTGGCATAGAATCTTGCTTGTAACAGAACTTCAATAAATATTCGTCAACTAGTTGAATGAATGTCAATTATTTTGGAAATAATTCCAAAATCTGTTTACATTTAGGACTGGAGTGTATTATAAACTTATCTTCTTTGGCTGGGAGTGGTGGCATGTGCCTGTAGTCCCAGCTACTTGGGAGCCTGAGGCAGGAAGATCTCGGGAGCCTGAGGCAGGAAGATCTCTTGAGCCTGGCAGGTGGAGGTTGCAGTGAGCCGAGATTGCACCACTGCACTCCGGCCTGGGTGACAGAGCAAAACCCTGTTACAAAAAAAGCAAGCAAACAACAACCAAACAACAACAACAAAACAAAAGCTTGTCTTCTAATTATGCTTGTAATCGTAGCTAACACTTCTTGACTAAACTAAGACTTTCATTATATTACCTCATTTAATCCCTACAGAACCCTGTGAACTAGGTCTTAGCATTGCTTCCATGTCTTCAGATGAAGAATTTTAAGCTCCAGGGAGGTTAAGGAACAGCCCAAGTTTACACTGTAAGTGGTGGAGCTTAGATGTGAAGGCTCTACCATGCGTGTTCCCGAATCCTATGCTGTTCTGCTCATTTGTGTGTGTTAAACATACTGCAAGCATTGGGGGAAGACCCTGAAGAGTGAGGGGAGAGAGATGAAGTAGGCTTTCACCTTGCCTTGGATAATTCACACATGGCTAATCAAGAGTATGGTAGATCGGAGGTATGAGAGAGTGGAGAAATTTGGAGATGAGCAAGGGAGCCAAAAAACAGAACACCCCTCAGCCGGGCGCGGTGGCTCACGTCTATAATCCCAGCACTTTGGGAGGCCGAGGTGGGTGGATCACCTGAGGTCAGGAGTTCAAGACCAGCCTGGCCAACAGGGTAAAACCCTGTCTCTTCTAAAACTACAAAAATTAGCCAGGCGTGGTGGCAGGTACCTGTAATCCCAGCTATTCAGGAGGCTGAGGCAGAAGAATCACTTGAACCCGGGAGGTGGAGGTCGCAGTGAGCTGAGATCACACCGTTGTATTCCAGCCTGGGTGACAAGAGCGAAACTCCATCTCAAAAAAAAAAAAAAAAAAACCAAACCAAACAAAAAAACAGAACACCCCTCACCAGGTTTGGTGAGTGTATGTTTACATTAAGTGCACACGTTAGTTCTAATCTTGCACGTCTGATATTGATTCACTTGTTTTATTGCATAAAGCTTCCTTTTTCTGTATCAGAAAGCACTTACTGCTTATTAAGAAAATCATTTTGGCACTGTAAAGACCAAATAAATCATTTCCTTCCATTTGATTCCAGAGATGTGAACGTTTCACACTGCAATGAGGCCGTATGGCTCAGCATTGACTTGACTTTGTGCTCTGACAAACAACATACAAGGCTGCTGTTTTAGAGTTCCTATTCAGCACTTACCAGTTAACCTAGTTTCTGTCATCTTTAGGACATGGTTGTTTTTGGCATATGGGATGTTGTTTCTCTTACTACAGTAATACTGGTTTTAGGTCTTGGTGACCTTATCTTCAAAAATTTTGTTGCTGAAGTTCAGAACAGTTCCTTTTGTCCAATATTTATTCAAACTACCTCAATTTACAAGATTTGAAATTGCTGCTAGACATTTCTGTGAGCATCTTGGAGAAATCTGAAAACAGTCTCATTTGATTTATATAATGGGTAAAAATCTAAGGACTTTCCTTGTCTGGTTTTGGCATTGGGGTTATGATAGCCTTGTAAAAGTGAATTCAGATGTGCTCTTTTTCTTTAGTTTCTGTGCGATTGGAACTCTTATTCCTTAAATATTTGATAGAATCATCAGTGAAGCCGTCTGGGCCTGGAGTTTTCTTTGTGGGATGTTTTGAGATTTTTAATGGTTATACCTACTATTCATGTTTATCATTTCTACTTGATTCCTTCTTGGTAATTGGTATTTGTTTCTAGAAATTTGTCCCTTTCTATCTAGAGTTTCAAAATTATTGAAGAAAGTTGTCCCTAAGAGCCTTTTATATTTATTATGTTTATAGCATTTACAGGTGTGTTGCTTTTTCCATACCTCCTATTAGCTACTTCCTCACTCCCTGCCTCTCTCTTTTTCTCCCCTTTCTCCCTCCCCTCCCTCTGTCTCTTGATTTTGCCAGAATTGTCTTTTCAAAGAGCAACGTTGGCTTTGTTAATCTTTATGTCTTTTTTCTGTCTTTATTATATGCTTCTTTTTTTTTCATTGCCTTCCTTCTTCTTCTTTGGGTTTGTTTTGCTGTACTTTTTCACACTTCTTAAGAATGTTAATTCATTAATTTTAAGCCTTTCTCTTTTTCTAATTTGTATGTTTAAAATATAATTTTCACTCTATCATTAGCTGTATCCTATGTGTTTTTTATATAGTGTTTTTATTATTGATCAAGTCAAATATTTTCTTTATTCTTCTTTTTTCTTTTTGAGACAAGGTCTTGCTCTGTTGCCCAGGCTGCAGTGCATTGGCGTGATCATGGTTCACTACAGCCTCTACCTCCTTGTCTCAGGCTATCCTCTTGCCTCAGACTCCCATGCATCTGGGACCACAGGCGCATACCACCATGCCCGGCTAATTTTTTGATTTATTTGTAGAGATGGGGGGAGGGTCCCACTTTGTTGCCCAGGCTGGGCTCGAACTCCTGGGCTCAGGTGATCCTTCTGCCTCAGCCTCCCAAAGTGCTAGGATTACAGGTGTGAGCCACCACGCCTGGCGAATATTTTCTAATAAACATTGTGACTTATTTGACCCATGGGTTATTTGTTAAATAATAAATCTAACTTTTTGTTATTACAACTTAATTGTGTTGTGGTCAAAGAACATGCTGCTTTCCTGTTTTCCAATTCTTTACAAAGTTTTTGAGACTTTTCTGATGGTCTGGATGGTTTCACAGACATTCCATGTGCACTTGAAAAGATTATGTACGCTGCAGTTGTTGAATGGGGGCTTCTAAATATGGTCCTCGTGTTGTTGGTTAAATGTGTCATTCAAATATTCTATATCCTTAATGACTTTCTTATTTAATTTTTACCAATTGCTGATAGAGATCTCTCATTATGATTGCGAATTTGTTCTATTTCTCCTTATATTCCGTCAATGCTGTTTGGTGTATTTTGAGGCTACAGTAGTTGCATTCACATGTACATTTCTTCAGTCTTCAATTCAGAATTGAATCTTTTATGAATGAACGGTTTTATTTCTAGGTAAAGCATTTTGCTTTAAAGTATAATTTGTCTGATATTAGTATAAACACATTAGTTTTCTTTTGATTAGCTTGGGCATAGCATATCTTTTCCATCT